ATTGAATACCTTTCTGACCCGGAATCGAATGAACGACTTTCTTGAAACTTTTAAAGAGGATCTAAATCTTTACTTCTATTATTTGTTCGTTGCGATAATTATAAAAGCAATCAAGATTATAAGGTTTAAAACTCATAATAAGGAATCATTTTATAAATATTATCAAATATAATATTAAATATATAAGTATAATATATATAATATACTTATATATTTAATATTATATATAATATTATATAAGTATTTATATATAATATTATTTAAGTATATATATATAAGTATACATAAATATTAAATTATTCTTAGAAAAAGCGAAAACGAACACAGTATTAATTTTTTTCGTTATACAAAAAAATCGGTAAGAAAATTGCAAAATTTCTCGATCGGTTCGCGTTTAATTCTGTAAACACTCAGCTGATCACTAGTGGTACTGTTATTATTTGAAATATCGACTGCGTTTGCGGTTGCGTAATGCGAAGGATTCCGAAGGACGCAAAAAGAATCCTTCCGGGCTCTACCGTTATCGCGATTTAAGAGCCTTCCACGAACGACACGACGCCTAATCAGACCGCATGTGTTGCAGGTCTGGTTCCAGAACCGGCGGGCCAAGTGGCGTAAACAGGAGAAGGTCGGGCCCCAGGCACATCCGTACACTCCGTACCCACCACCGTCGGCGGTCGTGGCGCCGACCTTGCCGAACCCCTTCGCCCACCTGGTCAACTTCCCGCACAGGAAGCCCTTCGATGCCTTTCGCTATCCGCCGTTGGGTCATGGCCCGGTCCTCCCCGGTAGTTACGCCGCTCATCCCTATCATCGGGCCCGGCCCCCCCCACCGCTGCTGCCGCCTGGCATGCCCCTGCCGTACTCGTCTCCCTTTCAGAATTTGCTGGCGAACATATCTGCAGCGCGGCCAAAGTTGGTGCGTGGTTCGCCACCCCCGCCCCCGCCACCTGCCTCCGCGATAACTCTGTCGCATCCCCCAGTGGCACCCCCACCCCCACCACCACCAACAGCCACTTCGCCACAGAGTTCACCTACGGGTAGCGTGGGTTTACCGGATATCGACAGGAGGACCAACAGCATCGCCTCGTTAAGACTTAAAGCCCGCGAGTATGAGATGCATCTGGAGATGTTACGTAAGAACGGCGATCTCATAAGTTGAAACGTTGCCGATCGAGTGTGGCAGACAACGAGCGCGAGTCTGTCTTGAATCAGTTCGGTAGGGTCATGGATCGATAAATTAGACAGACATTCTTTCACACGGAGAATGTCGGCAAGTTGAGTCAAGTGAATGAACTCGTGAAATTCTTAAACATTTAAATCATTGTTTGTCCAACGTGACGTAAGATCTTAAAATCTCAAATATCAAAATATTTTGTCGAATATTACAATATACAGCGATTGTGATATTTAACTATTTATGGCGATTTTAGATTGTGTAACGTCGTGTAATTGATCAGACTATGATTCGAGTGTTGTTGATCGATCCATTGATAACCACCGTGACGAACTTAGGAAAATGTGTGATCGAGTTTCGTGGCAAACTATATGTAGTAAATGCTAGCACGTTTGTTGAGCAGATTCTGTATCGGAAAGATGGAATGTGAAAGGGATGTGATAAGTTCCGTTTTCCATCAAATAGTCTATCATCAAATTCGTGATATGATTTTAATATGTTTACTTTCTGTATGTTTTGCACGGTAAAAAATCTCAAGAAAATTGAATAGACAATTGAACAAAATTCTTAGGAATACAATTTAATCATAGAATAATTTGAAATTTATAAAAAGTGGAAAAAAATGCTTTAGACTTTAGATTATTCTCTTTTAAAATTGACATTCAAAAATTAACAAAAAAATTTATTGCGACGCAATTTTTTCAATTTTCTTTTGTTTATCACTTGTTGTTATCCATGACATTCTACAACGTGAAACAAAAAGGAACGTGGAATGGCGTGAACGAGCAAGGAAGAGTAAAGCAAGGAAGAGTAAAATTACCGTTACTCATGTACACCGCACTGTGTATATAGTTTACAGTATTCCGTATGCGAGGGAATTAATAGAACTGCGCAAATCGAGGGACTTGCTCGCGCAAGTATATCGCGTGATACATCGTTTGAATCTGTTTCGCAAGCATCGAGAGGTAGATTTCTTAATTAGTTCACATAGTCGGTAATCACATCAGCTTCTATTAAGACTAATATCATACATGTTGTACATGTTATACAATGAACATGCATTAGCATTTTGATGTGGAAAGAAATTTTTTTTTTGTGAATTACTCGATATCGATTTATTGTAAGACATGTGAGATATTAATCTGACTTAATGCTGATTGTTAAATATGCGTGAAATAGATATTAATCTTAGCAGAATTAATTCGAAATAGATTGATTCGGTAGATTGCATTAAAATATTCTTTATTTTGTCAAATAATATAATAAATGTTAAATCAATAAACAAATATATATATAAATATATATATAAATATAATACAATTATAAATATATATACATTGTAATTTGTACATGGTATCTGATGATTATTAAAAAGTTCAACTCATAGAATCATAAAATTTTTTT